AGAGAGAGCAAGAGAGGGAGCATAAGAGCGCACAAGTGAGTGTGAGCGAGCTGCTCGATTTATTTTAATTTTTTTTAGAGATAGAGTCTCTAAATTTTTTTTTTAATAGATGGGATCTCTGTCACCCAGGTTGGAGTGCAGTGCTGTGATCACAGCTTACTGCAGCCTTGAACTCCCGGTTTCAAGCATTCCTCCCATCTCAGCCTCCTGAGTAGCTAGGATTATAGGCATGTGCCAAAACACTTGGCTAATTTATTTTTATTTTTATGTTTTTGTAGGGACAGATTCTCACTATGTTGCCCAGGCTGATCTCAAACTCCTGGCTTTGAGTGATCCTCCCATCCTGGCTTCCCAAAGTGCTGGGATTACAGGCGTGAGCTGCCACATCTGGCCTTGATTTATTTTCTAATAGGTTCCTAGGGCACTGTGGCAACAATGACTTTTCCCCTGAGAGGTATACAACCAAGGAGAGGACATTTGGGGACCTTCTATGATTGATTTTCATCTGTGCCATCCTGTTCCCCATAGCCTTGATGGCCAAGTGGCTATGTGGGGATCCGTAGTGCACGCAAAGCCTACAGTTCCCAGGTAAAGGGACTTTTTATCCTTTCACCTTTGGCCATGGCTTGGAGGAGGCTTTGTGCATATTGCTTGGCTCTTATCAAGTCCTGAGTGACCCCCTGCTCTTCCACGTTAGGCCCTTGAAACCCTCCTCATCTAGTCTTAAGTTCTAGGCTACAATTTCTCCTTCAGCTTGTCTCTTGCAGTAAGGTTGTCTTAGTCTGTTTTTGCTCCTACAACAAAATACTCTAGACCGAGTAGTTTATAAACAGTATAAACTTATTTCTCACAGTTACGGAGGCTGGGAAGTCAAAGATCAAAGTGCTGGCAGGTTCAATGTCTGTCGAGAACATGGTCTCTGCTTCCTTGAATGCTGCTTCCTCCAGAGTAGCTGATGGCAGTATCCTCACATGGCAGAAAGCTGCCAGACAAAAGGGCCCTAGCTACTTCTCTCCAGCCCTTTTATAAAACACTTATCCCATCCATAAGATTACCCCTGATGGCTTAATCATGTCCTGAAGACCTTACCTCTTAATATGTCTGCATTGGGGATTAAGTTTTAACATGAAATTTGAAGGTGATGCAGACATTCAAACCATAGCAAAAGGCAGTAGTAAGATGTAGTCTTTGGCATTTGGCAGGCTCAGACTCCAAGTGTAGCTCTGTGTGATCTTAGTGTAGGAACTTAGTTTCTCTGATCTTTATTTGCCTTATTTGAGAAATAGTTGAAGCTAACCATACCTACATTATAGGATTCTTGTACAGATCAACGAGGCAACACATATGCAGTGCTTCAGCCCTTCACAGATGTTGGTTACTGTTGCTGCTTTGAAGAGTTTCTTTGATTTTTTTAACTTAATACTCTTTTGGTTGAGTTGTTTTCAGAATTTCTTTCCCTTTTCTTCCAATGTTTTTCAATTAAGAAAAAAATGTAACTAATTTGAAGAAAATAATAACCTAACACCTCTTAGCCAACTTCTGTGTGGCTCTTTGGGCAAATAAAGGGCCTTGAATGCTTTGATTATAGTGACATAATTCCCTTTTGGAAATAACAGTTTGTTTTTTTTACATCACCTATAATGCCTGGTGTCTGTCCCTGCAAATATAATAATAATACCACCCACAGTGGTGTGACACTGTGTTTACAAAGCATTTTCATACATATCATCTCAACAGTCTCAGCATCATTCTGTAAACTGGGTCTTTCACCCTTGGTGAAAGTAATCCCTTTTCTGATATCACCACCTCATAAAGGTATCTGCACTCTCATGTTTATTGCAGCATTATTTACAATAACTAGGATGTGGAAAAAACAAAGTGTTCATCAATGGATGAATGGATAAAGAAAATGTGGTGTATGTAGACACACACACACACACACACACACACAATGGATTGTTATTCTGCCGTAAAAAAGAAGATCCTGTCATTTGCCCCAACATGGATGGACCTGGAGGACATTATGCTAAGTGAAATAGACACAGCATGACCTCACATATGTAGAATGAAAAAGGAAATGAAACAGTGGTTAGCACCAGTGGAAAGGTCGGGGGGCGGGACTGGAGGAGGAAGTAGGGAGATGTAGATCAAAGGATACAAAGTAGGTATGTAGGATGAATGAGACTAGAGATCTAATGTGGGGCATGTGGAATAAAATTAATAAAATTGTATTGTATTAGAGACTCGTGTTAAATAAGTAGATATCAGCTGCTCTTGTTACAAAAAAAGTAACTGTGAGATAATGGATGTTAATCTTCTTCACTGTAGTAACCATTTTACTATCTACATGTATCCGATAACATCCTGTTATAAATCTCAAATGTACACAATAAAATTTATTTTTTAAAAAAGGCAGTTGTCTTTTGACATTACCTATAATGCCTGGTATCTGTACCTGTAAATATAATGGTAATACCACCTATCGTGGCATGACACTGAGTTTACAAAGCATTTTAATACACATCATCTCTACAATCTCAACATCATTCTGTGAGCTGGGTCTTTCTGCTCCAGTGAGCTGTGGTGACTGTCTTCAGGTTTTAGACGCACACACACACGTGTGTGTGTGCTTGAGGTATTGCTTCTTTTCTTTTAACACAAAAAGCTGAAGTTTCAAAGCAGGTGGGGTGTGGGTTAAACACCGTTCTAAATGGCAGGCCTGCTGTTCGTGGGGAGGGAGAGTGGCCTGAAAGTTTAAAAATAACCTGAACATTATAGACTCCTGTGAATTCTACAGCCCAGAGCACTGTAAGTCTGTGGGTGTTTTACCTGCTGGAGTGCAGGCAGGAAAACAAGTTGAGATGCAGGAGGATTTAAATTTGCTGAGTCCTTTAGTGGCATGGGCTGGCAGCAGAAGTATTCGTGAAAAAAAAAGCCAGAACTAATGATCAGGATCAATGTTCCTGAATGGTAGGAACAGTGCTACCCTTTGATTTGCTGAACACAGCACTGCATACTTGTATCAACGATGTAGCGGACCCTTATTTTCTATGACTGAACAACTATCCTTTCCCCCTTGCTCCCTTCCCTCCCTTACTGACCTCTCCAGAGTTTGGTGGATACCTTTTGCAGATAGCTACCTGAGGCTGACCTACCAGGGAGCTCAGGGTTGGGACATTTTGGGTAGACTTAGCCATTCATTGAAAAACAAGTAAATGGTGTAAAACCGGGCTCATCACACATAAATTGTGGGCAATAGCACACCCTTTGAATTTTGAGAAGTTTTGAAGGGTTGAAATAATTTTTGAATTAGCACTCAGTTCTTGGTCTGACTCCTGTTGCTGTGGGATGTTGCAATGCAAAATGATGGCAGCAGTAGGAGCAGTGCAGCAGGTTGGGCTAAGAATGTATCATCATATTTGGTTTATTTGTAGCCCCATGTAATTCAGAGGGCAGGTACTACTTTTGCCATTTTTGCACATAGGGATATAAACCCAACCAGGACTGAGGTGCAAGCCTCCTGGTGTTTGCACCCTGATAACTCATTTATTCTGAGGCCCTTCAGCACCATCTGTAGAGTCTGGATATATTCTTGCCTCTTGGAACTGCAGAATCATCATGAAATCTCTATTCTCTAGCTCAAATCTCTATTAATGATATCAGCGACACAAATTAAAGTGGCTAAGATAATGGGTTTTGAAGTCAGGGTGACCTAGGATTGATCTTTTGCTATGTCACCCACCACCTATGTGACCATCAGGGAAGTTATTTAGTCCCTTTGAGTCTTGCTTCTCTTATTGTAAAATGGGGTTTATAATAGCACTTACTACATGGGCTTATTCTGAGAAATAAGGAAAGTGAATCTAGTTAGCATGGAGCCTTGCACATAGCAAGTATTTAATACCTAGGACAAATAATATTATAAACAGCATCACCTATACTTTTCTTTGTAATTATTCTTTACTTGTTTGATCCATGCCCATTTTTCTTTTTTTTTATAGCTCCAGAATTTGCAATATGAAAATAGAGATTATTTAAACAAAACGAAAGTAGCATAACTGGAAACTTTGAATTATTCTATTAATACTTGACTACATATGGAGGAATATTATTGAAAAATGTGGTTCAGTGATGGGGTGGTTTTGTGAAAAAATACAAGTCTTTAAAGGAAAAAGCTAAATCGTGAGTGCATGTATATGTGTGTGTCCAAGGAGATGGCTTGTCAGTGGTGTTAGGAGTATTTCAGAAATTCTCTCTTGATTGAGAATTACATTTCCATCTTTCCAATTTGTAAATGGCACATTGGGAATATTCAGAAACCTGCAAAAAAGCCTGTAATTCTTCACATTTGAATGTACTCTATTAAGCCTGTCTGAAAGCTCTCTGTAGCATGGGAAGATAACCTGCATGTTTGTACACTCGGCTGACAGAACTTGAGATCACACCAGAATCTGGTGCATGTCTTTGCAAACATGTGTGTGTCATTTTCATATGTAATTCTTCATAAGGGAAACAGGCATGATGACATTTGCCTTTTTGTAAAGAGAGAGAACCAATTAATACTGTAGTTGATCTGGTTTTTTTTGAAGCAGGACTTTATTATGTTTAATTTTCTGTGGAAAGGGATCTGAAAATATTCTTTAGGTGGGGAGCTGTTTCCTTTTAATAACTGATTCCCCAGATCTTATTTCAACTCCGTTTCTAAGAGCAAGAGATATTCCTCATAAGACAATGAACCCTATTGTTTAATGATTGGTAAGACAGGGCTTGGGCAGTTAGTGTGCTGGGGAAGTTACCCCTGAGTTACAGGCACTTAATTTCCTACAAGGGAATTAAGTACCCCTTTTTGATATATATTTCTTCCTGTTTATATCATCTGGATTTATGGCCATTCAACTCACAAGAAACAGCTGGGAACACCTGGCAGCAGAGAGAGAGGCTCCTAGTCAGAGCTAGAATGTGTTAGGGGAAGGGTAGCTCCTCAGACAGGGCCCAGATACCTGATTGATGCCGAAGCTCTTTTCCACCAATAACAGTTGCAGGAGATCCATGCATTCATTGACAATTTATTTTGCAAAGGCTTGCTATGAGGATAACATAATGCAGGCACTCTAGGTAATAAAACAAAGAGAAAGATATGTCCTTTACTCTTGAGAAGCTTACACCATAGTTGAGGAGACAAGGCATACATAATTGAAAAATTAATATGAATGTAATGGTGAAGTTACAGTCATGATGATATCAGTGAGAAAACACGGTACTATGAATGATACAGAAGTTCTGTGAATTTATAGGAGGTACACGTCATAGAGTTGGAGCGATTATGAAAGGCTTTGTGGGAGAGCAGATTTGAACTGAACCATCCATAGAAGGATGCCTAGGAATGGGAGAAGCAGAAAAGAGGAAGAATGTTTTTGGGGCAGTGTGAAGCAGGTGCTGTGAGCAGGGCTTTGAGGCAGGAGTGGGCATGACACGTTTATTTATGTACCTCATACTATGATACATGAGGAGATGGTGTTGGAAAGATAGGTTGAATTCTGATTGCCTTGAATTGTCAGGCTAAGCTGTTTGGCCATTTTATAGGCAGTGGGGGAGCCACTGAAGTGATGAAAACCTAACATGCATAGCAACTGGCATTTTAGGAGGGGGAGCTTGCTTTGAAGGATTTACAGTGATGTCACTTTTACACATATTGAGTCTGGGGATGAGGGATAATCCATATACAGCTACCCCTAACTTAATTGGACACCTGGGTCTGGAAATGAGTCAAAAGGTGAGGTCTAGGAGCTAGATGTGGTGTGGAGGGGGTAGTTGAAATGGCAGGTAAGGATATAACCTTGAAGAGAGAGAAATTAGACAGAGGAGAGAAACGGGTTTGGGACAGACCCACGGGTGCCCCACAGGTGAGAGCAGTAAGAGAAGGAGAAGGAAACGATGAGAAACTGGGAGATGTGGTAACTGGGATGCCAAGAAGGACGACCTCTGAGGAGAGGGGGAGGTCAGTGGTGTCAAATGCTGCAGAGTGGTCAAGGAAAAGGAGGGTAAAAAAAGGACCATCAGCAGTTCAGTGGGAGTCTTAGAGCAATTTCTGTGGAGTAGAAGGGGCAGAGCTAGTAAATGGCCTACCCAGGTGTACATTTCAAAACTGGCCTTAAGTCCATATCATATGGGAATGCCTTCTTCACTTTGATTATTTTATACCAGGTGGGTGTAACCAGCTGCTCAGTGTAGGAAAGAGTGGGAGAGAGAGGGTGTGGTGATGGACAGGTGGTGGCTTAATCTGCTGATGATTCCAACACAAAGGGTTCTTGGAGAGGCAAGACTGGTGGGTGCAGTGGAATCTTATTCTCTTCTCTGGGCCTTCAGGGACCCTCTAGGCTTGACTGCAGCTGTGAGCTGCATTTTCTGTTACTGTGGCATTATCTTCAAGAGTGAAATGTAGGGAGTGGATCAAGACCAGGCAAGACATGAATCCAACCTGGGCACCTTCTCCTAGGCACTGCCTCCTTTGGGTTAGCCCCTGACATGATACCTGACACGTGGAAGGTGCTCATTGCATGTCTGCTAAATGAATGAATCTGCCTGAGCCCACCCGGGCTGAATGAGCTTTGCAAGGTGTGGGCTGTGTTGTGTTTTCTGAGTCAAGAGGCCGTGGGGGTGGATGGATGGATGTGCTCCTGCTGGTTGTTCTCACCCTCTGCTCATCCCCATCAGTGGGAGCTGGAGCGCTGCTGAGTCCTCCTGCTGTACTTTGCCTTGGCTGAGCAGCAAGGTTGGGTCCTGAGGGTGGGAAGGGAAGTAGACAGTGATGGGCGTGGGATCCTTTGCTGTCTAGGGCTACACTCTGAACCTTCCAATCAACTTTCCCAATAAAGCTTAATATCTATTAGGGTAAGCATATTTTTGGCTTTTCTCTGGGCTGAAAAGTGACCTCATCTTATGGAAAAGAAAGGCTTGAAGTGGTAATGCTATAATCTTCATGATCCTAGATACACTGAAAGAAAATAAAAATGCTGATTGGCTAATCAACCCCATGTATCTTGTGTACCCCCCTCCCCCAACATCCTAAACACTCATGCTCCAGGCTGCTGCTCCATGCCTCCAATACTAGCTCTTTCAAAGAGATCTCTTTTGGATTCTTCCCCTTTCTGGCTGCCTCCAGTGGGAGGGGATGGCTCCCCGCTCTGTTCTCTCCCAGTGCTCTCCTGTGGTGCACTCCACATCCTGCCTTGTATTTGAGCCCTTCGTGGGTATGTTTTCCCTTCTCTTTTGAACTGTAAGTTTTTAGAGGCTATGACTGTGTCTAATTTATCTCTGAGCTCCAGAATCCCTGAGAACAATGTGTGGCACATTGAAGGGGATTAATGAGTATTTGTTAAATGGGTTTATAAATTCATGAATAAGTAAACAAACACACAGCTCTCTCAGGTATCATGGCCTTTGGGTCTCCAGACACTGGTCTCTACCATTTTTTTTTTTCCTTTTGTCCTCCATTCCTCCTGACCTGATCTCAGGCACTTACATGTCTGTGCTCCTCTGTCCATCCCCCGCACAACAGAGTGTGTTCATCCCTGGCTGCACTTCTGAAGTCGGCTTTCAGAAACAGAGTCTGTAGACATGCAGTGTTTCCAGTGTGTTACCGTGGTCACAGTTACTGAAGGTGAAATATACATAACAAGTACTTATGTAGCACTTACTTATTGTGTGCCAGGTACTGATCTAAAAGCTTTATGCATATTAACTAACTTAATTATCATAACAGCCCAGTGGAGCAGAATGGTATGTATTCTTAGCAGTTAAACCCTCTAGGAGACTCTCTGGTTCAAGGTCATGCCTTACCTCTCTAAAGCTCAAGATCCTGCTTATAACTTGACTCTCAAGCAAGGAAAATATTATTTTGACATGCAGTATGTTAATAATGGTCACATATTGCGAAGAATCCTGTCCTTATTATTAGGAGATCCAGATCTGCTATTTCCTAGCTCTGTGCACTGGGACAAGTCCCTGACCCTCTGGGTGTCAGATAACAGGATGTGCCTCACAGTCCTTCCACAAAGATACAATGAGAAAACATTACAGTTGGCACCCAGGAAGTGATGGATTGTCATAAATGAATGGTTTTTAAAACATTTTAAAGCCTACTTTGCTGACCTGTGGTTAGCTGATTGCATGTTGGAGTGTGGGGCTTCTCGGGCTTAGGTTTGAGAGATGCTGATTCTAGGGATGGACATTACATAAGGATGTGAAGTTATGTTTTCACCCAAGAAAGGGCTGTGAGGTATTGTGAAAGCCACCAGACTCCCAAGATGTCTGCATTGCCATAATGCTCCTCTGCTCCACTATGCATTTGCACATGGTCTCCTGCCAACTTTTTTCTTAAGAACCCACTCCCAAATCCTCTCTGCATTATGTTCCTTAGAGCACTGCTTTGCATAAGAGTCTATTTCTTGGAAAAGCTCAACGGAGGAAAAATAGAACAAAAGGGGCTCTGATAACTTAAGCATAAGCTATCTGAGTGTAACTGGCAGGGTGGGGGAAGATGAAGGAGCAGGCCTGGTAGGAGGGGCACAGGCCTTTTGGATGAAGCCCACATTCACAGACTTCTCAGTGATGGCTGAAAAATCTCTTATGAAGATGGCCTAAGGCCTGACAGATCTGGGAAGAGCTTAAGAATGAGGGTAATAGGCCAACTGCTTCTCCAACTTTGCCACTCATGTCCATCTGTCTTAGTATAAACTCCCACAGGCTGTATGGTCTGCGGCAGTGTGGACACCTTGTTTTCTGCCTTTTCCAGAAGAGGCTGGAGGGACTACCGATCAGTCCCCTGCACTCTTGATTGCAGCTCGATCATACACTGCAGTAGAGGGGCTCCAGGTTAAATGCTTTGAAATGAAAGAGTCTTCATAGGCTTTATAAACTAGGAAAGTTTTCCACTTGCTTCCTTAGCTCCTGTCGGGTTTCCACTTTGCAGGTCACTGCTTTCAGAAAAACATGGAGCATTTGGTAACCCCATCTTAACTTGGGAGGGTGTGTGTGGGACTGTACTTTCCAAGTACTGTGAGATGGGCTGGCTGCATTGTGGTGAAATTTAGGACCTCAACAAAGTCCCATAGGGGAGTAGAGGGCTGTTGACAAGAGGTCAGAGCCTAGGAATGTCTAGGCTCTGAGGCATGGTGCATGGGGTGCTGGCTGTCAAGCACTTGTGCTCACAGTGACATCTCACAGAGACCAGTAGATGGTGCTCTGACAACAGGAAAATACAGTTACTGTCCCTCTGAGGCTGGAAAGGGATTTTCAGATGGTCTTCAAACTGGTTTCCAATCAGAGTTATGACTAATTGCTGATTTTCCACATTTCCATTTGTGGATTCTTAATAGGATAGTGGAACTGGGGGCACTGGAAGAAGAATGCCCACCACATTCCCATATGAAGAGCATGACTGCAATATTCTGGTCATGAACTTTTTCTGAGGATCCTCCTGGATCTTGAGGGCATGGTGCCAGGAACACTTGGCCTCTGATCAAATTCAATTTGAGGATGGTAAGCATAGCATTTTCATAGGCTTAGTGTCATTGCATAGTTCCTTCTCTTGATGAACAATTTAGAATTACACTATTGCTGCCCTGAAGGACAGCACGGGTTTTAGAAAGAGCCACAAATTGGAAATCAGATGTGTTAGAAGTCCACATGCTGCCTCTTATCAGATGTGGGCAAACGGTTTAACATTGCTGAAACTCTGCTGCTTTGTCTGTCAAGGGTCGTGATACATGTGTTGCCAGGCTCACCTCAGGAGTTTGGAGTAAGGGTCAGCTGTGGGGCTTATGTAAACTGAAAACTATTAAACGCATATATTATTCAGTCATTAAAATTGTAGCCACTGGCGGGGCATGATGGCTCATGCTATCACTTTGGGAGGCTGAGGCAGGTGAACTGCTTGAGCCTAGGAGTTCCATACCAGCTGGGGCAACATAGTGAGACCATCGTCTCTATAAAAAAATAAAACCAACAACTGTAGCTGCCTTGGGGGCTGGTAGAATGGGGGAGGGGAGAGTATGAAACCAGTATAGAAATTCATAGATCTCAAAGCTCTCAAAAGCTATGACAGCCAGGTGTGGGTGGAAGATGACAGTCCGTCTTCCTGCTAGCACTGCTGCCCTTAGGCCAAGTCTCTTCCCAAAGCCATTTATGCCATTATGTTTGCCCCTTTCGTTTTGACTGCACGAATTATCCATGAATTTGACTCCAAGAATTATCCCTTTTAACTCACTTACATAGGTGCTGAAACTCCCTAAGGTATTCTACATTATTCCTACCTATGCATTTATGATTCCTGTCTCCTTGGAAGGCAGGTATCAACTCCAGTGTGTTGTCGCATTTGCACATATAATATCCCATCTTGAGTATTCTAGGCCTCTAAAGAATTACAACAGCCACAGAGAACACAGGACATGGAATACTGGATCTCTGCTGACATCTGATAACATTGAAGACACAAGTCAGGGATCTCTGATGTTCCAAGAACTACGTCTGGGAGGTAAAAGGCTAGTGAGCCCTGCTTACTCTGGGCATTAACAAAAAGGTATGCCACCCGCCAGCCTGCTGAGGCACAACCACAAAGGAAAGGGGTGAGGTGACAGCATGAGAGTGAAGTTTGTGAAGCTTTCTGGCCTGCGAGGCTATACAATTTAGTATAATCTAGTGTACATGATTTATGTCATCACCCATCTTGTTCATTATTGTATCCTCAGTGCCTAAAACAGTACCTGGCACGTGTAAGGTACTCAAAAATACTTCTCTAATGATTTGAATGAATTTTGTGCTATGGATTATGGTACTGTCTGAAAGCAGCGACATGCATTTAATAATTTTTGAAAGTCGTTTTTCTAACCCTATGTAGTTTACAGGGATACCAAGATAGCCACTTGGAACTAGTTCTAAGTGACTGGCTGATGCGACTTCATGGTTCACAGCACCACCCTCCCTCCGTTTCACGTCTGACTAGGTATTCAGACAGAAGAGGACCCTCTGATTAAAGCAGGAGGAAGGACAGAGTAAGGCAGTAATGTGAAATCAAAATAACAATTAGAGCTGACTCACTTTGAATAGTAATTTCACCTGAAATGGACTCCCCTGAATCAAAAGGTCAAACGCCCTCCCCAAGGGCAGCAGGCTGGACATGTTGAGACAATTCCTTTGGATTTCCAGTACTCAGAATTTTCCTTCACACACACACACACAGGCGCACACACTCACATACATTCTCACACAATGGACACGTCAGTGCTCACATGGCCTTGCCCACACACACACATACTCGTAGGAACACACGTGCCATGCACTCAGACATCACCTCTCAACAGTTAATCTCACTTCATAGGCGTGAAGCCATACTCACCCATGGTTTCCAACCTCTGGGCTTTGGTTAGTGTCTTTGTTTCCTTCCTCAGCCCCTCCTTTCCTTCTTTCCTTCCATTGTTCAGGTTGGGAGGATGTGGAGAGGACTATGTGTTGAGCCAAGGCAGGAAAACGCAGAGGACGGTGTGCCCCAGCTAGTGTGGACATGGGAGGGGACGGCTGGTCCCGGTCCTCAGTTCAAACCGCCAGTCACCTGTGGGGAAGGGCTTGGCGGCTAAACAGGAGCTCTTTCCCTAGGGCTTGGAGTCCACCTTTCGCACCTCTGCAGCTCAGATACCAATTCTATTTTTTTTGCCTACATTAATGGGGTGGGTTTGAGAAAGGCCGTGGAGCTTATTTGGGAGTAAAGGATAGGGGGCTGGAGGATCCTTTTGATTATTCGCATTTCGAGAAGGGTAGTTTTAGCCCATAACTCACCATGAAGGGCCCTTCCAGGAGAGGTGGGGCAGGGCTCTCCTACAGCGGAACCAGGAGGCCGCCCCGTGAGGGCAGAAGCTCCCGCTAGGAGCCAGCACCAACAGCAGAGCGTGGAACCCCCAGAGGTCCTAGCCTTCCCGACGGGGCCTCCCAGATGCTAAGTGGGGAGATGGGGAGAGGGTGTTGCCCAATCCTTGGAAATCCTTGGCAGTGTTCGTGGAGCATGGGAGGTGCGGAGGAGCGGCGACGCTGCCATGGCGCTAGGCGCGCAAAGGCCCCGACTCCTCACTAGGGCGGCGGCGGGCCTGTGGCAACGCGCCAGGCACCGAACAGGGCACAGCACTGGGGACACCTCTCTGCAGGGACCCAAGGCGCGCGTGCGTGTGCGCCTCACGCCAGACCCTGGCTCTCTTGCGGAGACTCCGCCGCGTCGCCTGCTGCGCCTGCCTCTTTCTTCTCGGCATTACTTGGGGGAAAGGGGACTCTTCACTGGACCTTTGCAGAGGTGGCTGCTACCTTTTGGCCACGTAAATCAAGAAGGCAAGCCAGCCTCACCTCCCAGGAACCTCCAGCCTTCCGGCTGCGTCCCCGCCCCTCCCGCCTCACCAGCTCCTCCCCCGCTTCTCCCGGCGCTCGCGCGCGCCTCGCTGCGCCTCTGCGCTCCGCTCGCTCTCCCCTGCCTCGCCTCCCCCCTCTCCTTCCGCATCTTCTCCAGTGCTCCGCCGAGGGCGCTGCCTGGGTGGAAGAGGAAGACCCAGCCGTTAGTGAGGAAGTTCGGTCTGTGGACAAGTGTGGTGCCAGGCCGCCGCGAGGCTCGGCTGCAACCTGTTCCTCGCCCGCCGGTGCTCGCCGCCCGCCCGCTCGCGCTCCCGCCCTCTCGGCGGCGCAGCCGCGGATCGCTGTTGCATGCTGATCCGGGGAGGCGGCGGTGGCGAGCGCTCCGGGCGGATGCTGGCACTCAGGCTTCGCTGCTCTCTGGATGCTGCTCAACTTCTAGCCCAACCGCAGGAGCTTTGAAGTCATTTGTCCCTCTTCGCTTGGATCGACTTCTTATTTTGAGATTTTGGGCATTGCGGTTTACGCAGGAACCTCAGTATCGCTCTCCCCACCTCCCTCCCTCTTTCTCCAACCTTTGGATGCGTCTCTGCTGGCAGATATAAAGACCCAAGTCTTCGCGGTGGAATTTCTTAGATGGACTCGTGGGGACTGGCGTTATAAAGCATGTCACCGTAACCCCGTCCTCGTCTTTATTTTTTTCAAAAAAGTTCTTTTGTTTTCAATTTCCCCTCCTTCCCACCCCTTCCCCCAACCAATAAATCACCAAACTGTTACCTAGCGGGCCGGTGCCTGCCTCTCTCCCTGAACTAGGTGGTGCGTCTGCCAGAAGAGGAGCTATGTTTGAAGAGCAGCCTACTCCACCCCTCTCCTCTCTGGTCCCTGAACACCACCACACACTGGCATTTTGAAAAAAATATTTTCCTCCAGGAACTGAGCACCCCCAAGCCCTAGCCCCCGTTTTTTTTTTTTTTTTTTTTCCTTCTTGAGGAATGGAGCTTCGCAGAGGTTGCGTTTAGATTCAACAGTTCACAGCGGCGGGCTGCTGCTGCCGCCTCTCCGAAGAGCTCGCGGAGCTCCCCAGAGGTGGTGGTCCCGGTGCCTGTCTGGATGCGGCTCTGAGTCTCCGTGTGTCTTTCTGCTTGTTGCTGTGTGCGGGTGTTCGGCCGCGATCACCTTTGTGTGTCTTCTGTCTGTTTAAACTTCAGGATGGCTCGCTTCGGGGAGGCGGTGGTCGCCAGGCCGGGGTCCGGCGATGGAGACTCGGACCAGAGCAGGAACCGGCAAGGAACCCCCGTGCCGGCCTCGGGGCAGGCGGCCGCCTACAAGCAGACGAAAGCGCAGAGGGCGCGGACTATGGCTTTGTACAACCCCATTCCCGTCCGGCAGAACTGTTTCACCGTCAACAGATCCCTGTTCATCTTCGGAGAAGAGAACATTGTCAGGAAATATGCCAAGAAGCTCATCGATTGGCCATATCCTTTCTTGCCCACCATAACTCCCTCTCTCCCTTTGCATTTCTTTGGGTGAAGGGGGGTACCTAGCATGGAATGTATCCCCCCACCCCCTTCCTGGTGCCAATTTGCCCCTTTGCTGAAGCGCACTCTTCGGTGCATCTAAGGGGCAAGCTTGGTGCTGTGGAGACTGGTTTGGGCACTAGTGTTTTTCAAGGTAAGACTTTTGGTTTTTTATTTTTCCTATGTGGAAATCTCTAGTGTCCCTGGGTGCGTCCCTTTCTGGGCTGGGCTTTGTCTGATTCCCAGCCTTCTCCCCACCCCTACTCCTTTCACATGCCGCCCTCTACATAGATTGGGTTGCCCCAATGCTTCCTTTCATAATCAATTCTCATTTTCCTTTCTTTAAGCCAGCCACTCTGCCCATATCCCCACCAGCCAGGAGACACTGCACTGTCTTCCTGTATGGAAGTCAAGGCTCCATGAGGAGATTTATCAGTTCAGAACCTCCCAGGGCCAAAACCTTGTATACAGATAGACAGATGAATAAATGAAACAGGCGTTTGGCTGGGGACTCAGCTAACTCTGGGGACTTAAGTTTAAGTTCCACTGAAAGTGGCATGAATGAGTGTCTGTCAGGGGAGGTGATCTCTGTTGCCACAGCTCAAACAGCTCAAACTTGGAGTTCTCCTCTCAGCCAAGGAGGAGCAGCTCATTAGGCCCGTCCTTTCCTTGGTCCTTGGTTGGGTACTCTTGCTTCTTAGTGCTTGACCCAGCTGGTTGCTCTCCCAGTGTCCAGGATCCAGGTGGATCTCCTGGGCCTGAATTCATCCGCTGAGGCCAGAGGTGCGCATGCAGTCTCTCTCTCCGTAGCTCCAAAGGAACTGCTCTCCCCAAAGCTCTGGTGGGGGCCATCTGTGATGGTGGTGGTGTCAGAGTGAACAGACATGGAAGGAGCTTCTTTGCAGGTTTAATCAAGTGCACCAAATGCAGGCTGCTGATTAGGCAGCTGGCTACCTTGTTCTTCACTAAGGATTGGACGCCTGGCAAGGCCATTAGGAATTGGGGGTGATGAGGTAGTAAAGGGGATTAGTGGGAGGCAAGCTAGTGGTCTGGTGTTAAATATGGGGATGGGGTTGGACACATGGGACTTTGGGAGGGAGATTTGGGAGGGCTGCACCTGCAAAGAAGGCCCCCTTTTTTCTCCCCTATTCTCCCTCTTTCCCACCCCCACCATCCAGGTGTGCAGCAGTGAGGCAGCTGGAGCTGACTTGGGTCTCTAGTATTAGCCAGACACTCGGCTCACTTCCCACAGGGCCTGGGCATCTCCCTACTCCCCCAACCCCAGCCTCTGGCCTTCCCCTCCTTCTCTAGTTCCCTGCCTCAGCAGCTCCATGATTGGCTGGCGCGTGGTGCTTCTAGGCAGCACCCCTCATTAGAAACGAAGGAGCATCTCTAAGCAGATATTCTTCCTGCTGCTGTTCGCATCCTCCCACAGCCACCCCTGGCTGGGCTTCTCCCTCTCTCCTCCTCTCTGCACCCCTCTCCCCTGTTCCACTCCCACAGAGTGATCCTGGGCCATCTATTGCCTGAGTTAAACGTATCTAGCTAGGGAGAAGGTTTCTGGCGGGGGAGGGGTCGGGTCCCTGCAGTCACGCCTGCCGGTGCGCTGCACAAAGCGGACAGATCTCATTGTGTTGTGTGCTGCGGCTGCAAATATTCCTCTAGGCAGTCTACGGATTTCCCAGCTGGGCCCTGCTTTCTCACTTGGCTTCTACAGTTCTCTAAATCTTCCTATCCACCAGGTGCTGCTTTGCTGTGCCCCTCTCTTAGGGACGTGTTTACTCAGGCGCCCTCCCGTTTCTTTGCGGTAGACAAAGCCGCCCAACCGCCTCGCGGGTGGCAAAGTGTGCCAGCAGCCATCGTTGGCACCTCGGACAGCGCCGCTGAAACTCCCGGTGGCCCGGGGCTCCCCAGTTATCCGGGTTCAGCACCTCGAGGTACTTCCGGCTGGGCCCAGGCTTGGGGCTGAGAAACCAGGCACGTTTCCTACACCACGCGGTCATCTTTTTTCACGTTTTCTCTTCCGCTGCAAAGACACCGCCTTTCCACCAGGCGTTGCGAGCGCGCAAGGTGCGGCTGTGAGTTTTACTCCTCCCTTTCCTTGTCTTTGGCCAAAATGGACCAAAGAGAGTCAAACGGGAGACTCTCGGACTCTCGAGGGAGTTGATTTCAGCATCATGCTCAGTGCCTTGGCCCCAAGCCCTGTCCCAATGGTCTCTTCTGTCTGCATAGTTGGCAATTTCACAGTGGTTCTACAGCATGTAGGCTGTGGTAACAGTGTTCAGAGAACATCTGCTAAGGTGTTTAGTGGAGCCCTGTTGGAAAATGTAAAATATACCATGTACAATGTAGTTGACTAATATATTCCTTCTGGTGGTGACCACGTGGAAACATTGGGCTTCCGTGGGAAACGCACCTAAATTCCTAGTCTCACCTTCCTTTCCTTTCTAAACATCCAACTTCCCAAATAATCTTGCTTTGTCTTACTGGGAGTCAGTCTGGGTAGTGGTTGCCCATAAAGTTTTGGAGCTAGGCTGCCTGGGTTCAAATTGTATTTCCTTCACCAGCTCTGTGACCTTGAAAAGTTATTTCATTACTCTGTGACTCAGTCTTCTTATCTGTTAAATGAAGATAATAATAATACTGGGAGAATTAAATGAGTTAATATATATCACGTGCCTAAAGCATTATCTATTTACCCAGTAAACACTAGTTGTTGTTATTAATGATGTCTTTCAGAAATTTCAGCATGCTTGAAGTGGGGAGGGGTCTTAGTTCAGGTGAAGTTTTCTAGATTCTTGCCTCTCAGAGCGCAGAACTGCATCCACATCACCTGGGAACTTGCTAAAAATTCAGAATCCTCCACTTAAATCCTGCTGAATCAGAATCTGCATTGTAATAAGATCCCTGTGTGATTAATATGCTCATTAAAGTTTAGGAAGTACTTCTTTGCTCTTTGTAAGTGCCAGAGTTTTTAAAAATTTTTTTAAGAAGGGAAGGTTGTTCAGTTGTTCAGAAAGCATGTCAAGACCTGCTTTCATATTGACATATACACATTTAGCATGCTTGAGGATTTTGTTTGTATTACAACACCTTTTGGGATTTACATTTTCATTGCCTGCAGAAAGTCACTGTAGGACAAGGGGTATAATGTACACTTCTATGTGCCACATTAGTGGTCTCATCGTGCTGTGCATTACTGGTCTTTAATCATGTTTGTCTGAAAAGATTGGTTAAATAAAAGGAGTGGTTTAATTTATGCTTCTAGGATCACCCTGACTTGGAGGGGGAGGGTAACCTTATCCAGTTATTAATAGGGGAGGTCTAGTTCTTATGGGAAGAAATGCTCAAGATAACCCAGATTTGGCATGAAAGATGGTGGCAAGTCAACAGCCTACTCTGAATGTGTTTCATTTTTCTTGGAAGCTACATCTGCATAGGGAGATAATTTTATTTTCTTATGGCACTTTCCTCTGCAGTGGATACCATACTCTTTTTAAAAATGCTAATGTGGTTTAAAATGTGATG